TGCTACCAACTCACTTCCTCTCAAAGGGGGTGGACCCTGCTCTTCCTCTTCTTCAGAGTCCACATCGGCTGAGAGTTAGCATCCCCTGTGAATTTCTGTTGCTATAGAAACATGTGTTCCTAGTTAACCTTTTGTTTTTCAAGGAGAAAAATAAACATGCCACCCACAAAAGGGCCCAACCAGAGGCTGGTCCCAAGGAACCCTACTTCCCTCCTCAGCCGCTGGGGCTGGAGACAACCGTTTTTCCCAATCTCTTGGCAGCAATGAGCAACAGCTGTACTAGCACTGGGGCTTTGTGAACCCTTTCTCTTAGGCCACATCCTGTCTGTCAAGAGAGAAAGAATGGTTCAGGTCAAATAAAGAGGAACATTACGCAATATAATTCCCAGGGTTATTTTTTTGAAAATAACAGCAGGCAGGCCACCTGAGGTGAAGGGTGATTAATAAAAAAATCTCTCCAATTGGACACTATGGAAATAAGCTTAGCATTATAGATAAAAAGCTTAAGAGAGAGGAAATCTAATGTTTATAAAGACTATAATAGACTTTAGACTTGGACAAAGTTGAGCCTGATGGCTTACAATTTGGACTCAAACCACAGCTGAACGGTATCAAACACATCCCAAGTCTTTACAGGACATTCTACAAAAGTTCTATTTCTGGGGAGCTGTCTCTGGGTTCCTTTGTGTGGTTAAGTAACTATTTCACCATACCTAATATTAGCCTGAACAAAGAACACATATTTCTTTCACAACACTTTTTTCTTCCATACTTTTTGTAATGTCAGTAAAAGATGTCAACATTCCCAGTCATTCTTGAGCTTTCATTTTATCCTGCTTGATAGTCCCATCCAGTTTGCCACATGTAAGCTGTTCAGGGAGTCCATGATGCTCATTTTCAAAGGATTTCTGGAATGTCCTTCTTAATTTTCTTGGTGGCTCCCATCCAAACCAACATCCCCTCTCACTGTATCTCCAGCATAAACCTCTCTTTTGTCCCAGCATGGGATTCCTGATGTAGCAACTAAAGGGTTCTTTGACAGTGTCAGGCAGGCTAAGTCACTTCTATACTTGCCACCTCTGACGGTCATCATTCTCTCCCACTGCAACTTTACCTGCCTTACTGCATTCCCAATCCCCTTGTTACCCAAATCTTGATAGGTACTGATTCTACATCTGAACTAATTTTGGGCTTTCATGTGACCCACCTTTCTCAGCTACAAGTTTTTAAAAGTGCTAGTTTTAAATAATCAAATCCAACACCCTTCATAATAAAATAATGTAAACCAACAACTAAAATATTAAAAAAGAAAAAGCTCATTTCCAAATATTATTATTTGACCTTTTTTCTACAATGCTTACGCTATGAAAGCTTCTTCTTTCTTCAGTGACTGGCTGCTCCGGGCCACTAGAAGGTGGAAACCTTTGCTAGAAGTAAAACATGGCACACAGTGCAGAGAATAGCAGTTAAGACAGCATGTACAGCCGTGCAGGCCCAAGACAAAGTTCCAACATAGAGAGGGAATTAGGCACAAAATCCTATCCCTGTACATGGAGCTATGGATTACTGTTATTTGCTAGGAGAAAGAGAAAAATATTTCTCCAAAAGTGTTAAGTTAGACCACTCTCTAGTGGTCATCAGACACATCTTAGGATATTTGGTGTAACAAAGATTGATCTTGAAAGAAAATAAAAAGAGACAAAATATAGAATAAAGAAAGGAGGGGTGGGTGGATCTGGGGAGAGTTGGAGTGAATATAAAGAAGACATGAAAATCAAAGAACTAATAAAAACAAACAAAAAGGAAACAAAACAAAGACGAGCTGGCTAAGTAATATTTTGGGTGCATTAAGTATATAAATAAGCACATAGTATAAAAAATATCTAATATTGACAATTGTCTTTAATCCCACTATTTTGGAGGCAAGATCAAGTGGAGCCAGTATGGTCTACAAAGTGAGTTTCAGGCCAGCCTGAGCTACATAGTGAGCTCCTTTCTCAAAATAAACACACACACACACACACACACACACAAAACACTAAAAACAAAAAAAAAAAAACAAATGCACAAAACTTCAACAATTATATTATTATGAGAAACCTACTCTATCACTGAAGACAAGTCCTTGGCTTTCTTAGTTAGATAGTGAGTTAGTTAGTTAGTTAGTTAGTTAGTTTGCTTTAATTGCTTTCTGAGAGAACTAAACAAACAAAGGGAAAACTTAAACCTGAGACATCGTGCATCAAGAGAAAACGTGAGCTGACCCAGAGCTTTATGTAGTTTCCCACCGTCATTCTAGAACTCTGCATCACTCTTTCCTAGTGGCTTTTCACCAACATGACACTTGTAGTTGTTGCTTTAGAGGAAATTTAGAAATATTTTGCTGTGTTTGGTTGAGCATAAAAGAAGGAGCAAACTTGCTTGGACTCTTTCTAGCCTTCAGGACAAGAGAGTAGTATGCTCTCAAGCTTTTCTCTTGAAAAATGTACTCTATTAACACAGACACTGCTGAATCTAATTAGTACCTGCATGGTTTGCGACTAAATCTCTCGTGTTAATAGTTCAGTTTATTTTTATTTTGTAAATGTCTCACTTTGGGCAAACTGGGGGACACAGCAAGCTGTGCTCACAGCAAGCTGTGATGAAACAGGTAGAAGGAGGGTGAGGCCTGGCTTGGCCCATGCAACCCCCTCTGGTAGGTTCCCCAGTGCCTACTGAGGCTGAACCCCTCTCCCATCCTCAGAGACAACAGATAGAGAAGCAGTTTAGGACAGCAAGATAAGGTTCTGGACACAAGCCAGTAGGTGAGGTGGCCCTTCTCCCTAAACAAAGAAAGGGCCACAGGGAGAGTGCTGAAAGGATTGTATGCCAGTCCCTAGCACAGGCAATTTTCTAAGGAGCAGAGCAAGTTTTTATGGTTGTTTGAAATGACTTACACGTCACTTTTTTTTAAATTTTTTATTAATTACACTTTATTCATTTTGTATCCCCCCATAAGCCCCTCCCTCCTTCCCTCCTGATCCCACCCTCCCTCCCCTTTCTGCATGCATGCCACTCCCCAAGTCCACTGATAGGGGAGGTTCTCCTCTCCTTTCTGATCTTAGTCTATCAGTTCTCATCAAAAGTGGCTGCATTGTCTTCTTCTGTGGCCTGGTAGGGCTGCTCCCCCCTCAGGGGGAGGTGATCAAAGAGCAGGCCAATCAGATATGTCAGAGGCAGTCCCTCTTCCCATTACTAGGTAACTCACTTGGACACTGAACTGCCATGGGCTACATCTGTGCAGGGGTTCTAGGTTATCTCCACGAATAGTCCTTGGTTGGAGTATGAGTCTCTGGGAAGTGCCCTGTGTTCAAATTATCTTGTTCTGTTGCTCTGCTTGTAGAGTTCCCGTCCCCTCCAGCTTTTACTATTTCCCACTTCTTACATAAAATTCCATTTACTCTGCCCATCAGTTGGCCATCAGGCTCAGCATCTGCTTTGACAGTCTATACTGCAGAGGCTTTCAGAGGCCCTCTGTGGCAGGTTTCAAGGTTGTTTCCTGTTTTCTTCTGGCTTTCAGAGGCCCTCTGTAGCAGGTTCCGAGGTTGTTTCCTATTTTCTTTTTCTTCTGATGTCCATCCTCTTTGCCTTTCAGGATGGGGATTGAACATTTTAGTTAGGGTCCTCTCTTTTGCTTAATTTGTTTAGATGTACAGATTTTAGTGTGTTTATTCTATGTTGTATGTTTATATGAGTGAGTATATACCATGCGTGTCTTTTTGCTTCTGGGACAACTCACTCAGGATGATCCTTTCCAGGTCCCAACATTTACCTGCAAATTTCATGATTTCCTTATTTTTCTTTGCTGAGTAATACTCCATTGTATAGATGTACCACAGTTTCTGCATCCATTCTTCAGTTGAGGGGCATCTGGGTTGTTTCCAGCTTCTGGCTATTACAAATAAAGCTGTTACAAACATGGTTGAGCAAATGTCCTTTTTGTGTACTTGAGCCTCTTTTGGGTATATGCCTAGGAGGGGTATGGCTGGATCTTGAGGAAGCACTATTCCTAGTTGTCTGAGAAAGCGCCAGATTGATTTCCAGAGTGGTTGTACAAGTTTACATTCCCACCAGCAGTGGAGAAGGGTTCCCCTTTCTCCACAACCTCTCCAGCATGTGTTGTCCCTTGAGTTTTTCATCTTGGCCATTCTGATGGGTGTAAGGTGAAATCTCAGGGTTGTTTTGATTTGCATTTCCCTAATGGCTAATGAGGTTGAGCATTTCTTTAAGTGCTTCTCTGCCATTCGATATTCCTCTACAGAGAATTCTCTCTTTAGCTCTGTTCCCCATTTTTTAAGTGGATTACTTGGTTTCTTGCTTTTCAGCTTGTTTAGTTCTTTATATATATTGGATATGAGTCCTCTGTCAGATAAAGGGTTGGTGATGATTCTGTACTATAGAGCAACAGTTATAAAAACTTCATGGTACTGGCATAGAAACAGAATGGTGGATCAATGGAATCGAACAGAAGACCCAGAAATAAACCCACACACTTACGGACACCTGATTTTTGACAAAGATGCCAAAACCATACAATGGAAAAAAGATAGGATCTTCAGCAAATGGTGCTGGTCCAACTGGATGTCTACATGTAGAAAAATGAAAATAGATCCATAGTTATCACCCTGCACAAAACTGAAGTCCAAGTGGATCAAAGACCTCAACATAAAACCAGACACATTAAATCGGCTAGAAAAAAAAGTGGGGAATACCCTAGAACTCATTGGTACAGGAGAAAACTTCCTGAACAGAACACCAACAGCACAGGCTCTAAGAGCAACAATCAATAAATGGGACCTCATGAAATTGAAAAGCTTCTGTAAAGCAAAGGACACTGTCATCAAAACAAAGCGACTGCCTACATGTCACTTTTGTGGTTTACATTTTCTTTGAGTATTTTATGTATGTACCTGTAGTTAAAAAATATTCCAAGCCATGTTTTGTCTGTGTTTCCTTTCCAGAAGACAGCCTCATGGTGTGGCTTCCTCTGCTGTGCTAGCCTCCCTTGCTTATCAGCCTGTGTCCCATGCCAGGGCCTACAGCTCTGTGACACCTGGATAGAGAAGTTGGATTGCGTCTAAAGGGAAACTGAGTCTACAAACTTGTCTCTGACTCATACACATACCATGGCATGTGTTTCCCCCCCACTAATAATAATAAAGTTTATTTTTAAACTGAAAAAAAGTTCAGTTTATTTTACATAACACACTAAGGAAAGCAAGGTTCCCTTATGGTTAAAGGGCACTTTTCAGATATAATTTTCCAGACAGAGAATTAGAGACAGAAGAAAAATTTTATGCTATTTTCTTTTTTATATTTAACTAATTGAAAACAAAAGTTGTATCTTGTATTTGTAAACACTAAGCTAAATAATACAGTATTTTTTGCTTTACCTCTAGAGTGATACCAATGAAATTAGTGTTTCCTTATAAAAAAGTTTTATCCTCCTAATTATAAGATTCATTTCCCATTTATTTCTTAATTTTTATGAAGTTTTATAAAGACTTTATATATTGAGCTTATTTGATAATCTGTACCTCTTTACAGCAAAATATAGATGAGGTAGCACCAACAACATGGCTTTTCAGTGCTTAGAAACCAAAAGAGATGACTTCCTCTGCTTTGAGTGTTCTTGGGGTAATGTGTCATTTTGGCATAGAGTCTTAGTTCTTAACAACCTAGTGATGTACAAACTTTGGTTCTCCAAATTCTTAGAACTCCCACAAAGGCATGACAACTTTGGTGAAGATTGGGTGTAGAGACCAAGGCTGTGAGTTCCTCTGCCTTGCTTCGTACTAGAAAACATTGTCTTGATCTGTTTCAGATATTGAATTTTTTTTCATTTTTTTATTTTTAAATAATTAAACTTTATTTATTTTGTATCCCCCCATAAGCCCCTCCCTCCTCCCCTCCCAATCCCACCCTCCCTCCCGTTTCTGCATGCATGCCCCTCCCCAAGTCCACTGATAGGGGAGGTTCTCCTCTCCTTTCTGATCTTAGTCTATCAGTTCTCCTCAAAAGTGGCTTATACTATTTATTTTGACAAAGTCATTTCCATCCCCACCCAAAGTTCAACACTATTGTATTGTTTGAACCCCAGCTTGTAAATCATAAGACAAGGATGAACCTGGAGTGAGTTTAGCTGCTAAGTACCTGAGTGGATCGAGACCAAACTAAAATGTTAATTTATATTCCAGATGGATCATTTACATCAAGATTCTAGGAGAATCTCAGGCACATCCATTGCCTTTAAAATGGACCATACTCCTCCATACTTCATTGAAGGTGAGCTAAATGAGCTAACCACAGATAGAAATGGCAGTGCATGCCTGTAATCTCAGCATTTGGGGAATCCAATGAATCATTGATCAGCCTGAGCTATACAGTTTCATGTTGTCCTTGGCTTCCTGAAGCCACTGCTCAAAAAATATAAAAGAAGAGAGGGGGAGGAAGGGAGAGAGTGGAGGGAGAGAGAGGCAAGAAAAGTAGAAATGGAAAGGGTAGGATAGAGGATGAAGAAAGGGAGAGAAAGAGGGGTGGAGGGAGAGAGAAAGAGAAATAGAGAGATCCTTTACTCTTTTTGCTTCTTTCTTCTTCTCATCTAGCTCTTCTGTCTATAAGTCTAACAATAGTCAGTGGAAGTCTCAATTTCCTTGACTCCAGTCAAAGATCAAAGATCCTGCTTCTCTCTCCTGACCTTCCTAAAAATCTAAAGCTTAACTTAATTTAGCTATTTACACAGCTTTTTATCTTTGTGAACAAAATAAGGTACACTTTATGTAACCAAAGGAAAAAAAAATCTACTTATTTACCATTTCTTTTATTCTGTGATGGAGGCACACAAAATTCCAATACTTAACAATGAAATGTGACCCTGGTGTGTGTGTATATTAAAAATCTATCTCTTCTTTAAAACTTCCTGATTGACACCATCACTCAGAAACAAATTTTACTGTGAATTACATGCCTTGTCCTCAATTTAGTAGTAAAACTATCTGCTTCGGTTTGCTCCTGCTTCATGCTACATGCTTTTGATCACAGATGAGTGCCTCATCATTTAGAACCACCTTCATTCCTAGTCTTTATAACTTCCTGTAGTATAGTATTTGACACAAAGTAAATAAGAGATTTCGGTTTTGCATTTATTAGAAAGACACATGAAAAGTCAGGACTCTCTGTGTTAGGCAACAGAGCAACAGAAACTTTGTCAAAAATTACTTTTCCTGTACATATTTACTACCTATGCTTAGTAGTTACATCACCATGGACAAAATAGAAAATTTTATTGATGTATTTGTCCTGTAAGGATCCCGTGGAGCCAGTACTAGATAATCTATATGTTGCAACATGGAATTATGGATACTGGAAGTAGACTAGATTGGCATAGTCACAGCCACTGTCCTTCCTAGGACTTGCAGGATCTAGTTCTGTTCTTCTATCATGTGCGTTCCTGAGACCGAGCTAAGGATGGCACGCTTGGCAGCTGGTGCCCTTCTTCACCAAGTCTTCACGCTGGCATCATATTACACTGGTAATCTTTCCTACCCTCTTGCCAGAATGGATTGTTCAACAATCCTGCTTTGCTTTAAATACCTTTAAGTTAAGACTGGATATACTCAGTACATAGCTTGTGAAGAGATTATGTTATCACTTTGAGAGAGGGTGGAAATTAAGTTTTAAATTTTTATCAAACAATCTTTGCCTCACAACCAAGATTCAGCACACAGAGAAGCTACTAAAATAGGAAGAGGCTTTAAAGGCTGGGTGTACAGAATAAATGTTTTAATGAGTGTTATTTTTAATTTCATCTTTCAAAATGTTTATCTTTTCTGCTATACAAATTCTTACCTTTTCCATGCTGAGGAATAAAAATGTTCTTAATTACCATTCACCATAACACATACAATCTGAGTATTTTCAGACTTATTATTTCAATTCTGATTCTCTCTCAAAGGCAATCTGTCATAGGAATTAAACTCTGTCATACACAATCTGTAATACATAGCTTACCTTATGTACAATTTCTCATCTATGTCTATAGTATTTCTTGTTTAGTTCCACTTCCCCTAAATTTTTTGTAGATCAAAGAAAAAGTAATATTTCTGTATATGTCTTTTCTTCTCTTCAATACAACAGTCTTTTGTATATTTACTCCCAATATGAGATGCTGGATGTAGCTGGATGTTTCCTAAAACTGTTGTTACTTCCAGAAATAATTCCACCTGTGCTTTCACTACTATTTCATTAGTGAAAATGAAGAACAGGGGCTTGTTCATGTCATGTAGAAGAAATCATCCTCTGGCAATACATAGCCTTCAAAACAAATGCATGTTCTTCTGTCCTCTGAAACTTACATGAATGTATGCTCTGGCGCGTGGGTACAGAATTCATACCATCAAGACCTTTACATAACTCTATACTGGGGAATTTGTTATTCCTTTATTAAATGGAATGTGTTTGACATAATGTATCTTCTTCTAAAATATTAAATATATTGAAGTTAAATTCATTTAAATAAATATTTGTGGAGAAAAAATGAACACTTTTTCTAGTCCTGAGAATTGAAATAATATGAAGACAATATTTATTTTTAAGAAAAACATGGGATAACAAGCAAGAAAGACAGTAAAAAAATAACAATTTTATAATAAATGCAAGTGTGAGATTATGTTTAGGATATAATTATTCAGTGGAGACTGGACTGGCATCACATATCATTGAATATATGATGTTTTCATGGGCTTCAAATGATGTACAGGTGTTTTCAAGGGTTGAAAAAAAATAAAAATGTGAGTTCGTCTAGATGAAACATGGTGAACAAAAGTTCAAGAGCTTTCAGCAACCTTAATTGTTAGAGGACTTTTAAGCAGTTTACTTAATAGGCTGGGTGGGGTAGCCCAAATATGCAGGGACCAAAGCATGCAGGTTCATATATGCCTGCTGCAGATGTAGTGGTAATTTAGCTTTAATCTTGAAGATGAAGGGAAACTTCTGGGGAGTTTTTAATGGGAAATGGCATGATTAGACATATTTTTTTTCTTTACTAGAGAAAGCTCTCTTGGCAGCATGTACAGGAGAGCATGCATGAGGATATAACTATAAGAAAACCAGTAAGACATGCAAGAGATACTAACTAACTGAAAAAAGTCAGTGAGGAGCAGAGGTTGATTTGGTTCTCAAGTCTCTTATTTGGGAGATCATGTGGCTCTCTCCAGAACAGAAAGGAAAGGCAAAAATTCAGTAGAAGTGAAGAAAATCACAATTTCCAGGAAACTATTTTATTAAAGATGCCAGGAAGGGAATAGTTTTAGATGTTAGGTAATTTATAAAACATGTGTAGGTGAGCTATGGAGTTGAAAGTCACTGGCCAAGGAAGACGGCATAGACTGAATAAAAAAGAGCCAAATTCAGAAATATAGACATTCAAAAGGCAGACAGAATTTCCAGCAAATAACACATTTAAGAAAAGAAGCTTAAAATATTTTATAAAAAGAAGAGAATAGAAAAAAATGCCTTTAGTATTGAAGATCACTTAGATTTACCTATCAGATCATTTATAGCCTCTGAAAATTCTGCTTTGGTAATACTGAGTAGAAGACAGAGCTTTCCTTTTGGAAACACTAGTGAGAAAGAATGCATTGGATAGATTCTTGAAAGGTGGAGATGAGAATATAACTACACTAAAAATAAAAATGTCTGAAAGAAATTTGATAAACCAAGATTTAAAGAAATGGTGAGAAATAGTATAGATTCTTTGTTAAAATGTTGGAGGAGGATAGAAGAGATTCTTGTGGGAGGACACATGATTTTTGAATTTTTGGTGTTCAATGGCATCATGTTTCTATGTTAGATGAAACAAAGAGATAAAAATCTCATAGATTGGGAGGATGTAGTATGCATGTAGAATATTAATTAGGGAAAAAAAGGAGTATCAAGGATGACTAAGTAAAATATTCGTTTTACCAGTTATTATAAGCTTTTCTATCACTCTTTATGTCCTTTTCTCATATTTATGCATCACAGAAGTTTAAATAAATCATGGTCCTTGATTTTTGTCTTTTTCTTAATTTATTCAATTTTTCCTTTCTATGGGTATCTTAAGATTTTCTCCTTTCCCTCTTCAAGACTCCTTGACAG